GACCCTTGTGACGTCACAAATGACGTCACGCAAGGGCAACAATGCAAATATGAAGCATAGAACCTTGCAAGGAGTGCATGAAATCATGATTTTATATGCTTGAGATAGTTTCAGATCATTCTCGGCGCCAAAATAGCAATTTTCATATTTCCCCATTGACTTATAAGGGCTTAACGTATTAGTTCCTTGTATCTGAGAATTTTTTAGGATTTCATCTTATTCTCCACTCAATTCTGCGTAAGATGCCGGGTTCCGTGTCCACATAGCTCAAACGTAACGGATGCAGCGACCGCAAACGTAAATCGAGGTCCCGAATTCCCTATTCCCCAACACAGGCGGCGGCCGCTTCCTGGTCTGCGCAACATGGCGGCACCGTTGGACACCATCTGGCGGCCGATGCGCATTCCACTATTATCGGGGTTACATGAGCACAGTAAATACGTATTTAGCCGCTATTTCGAATTAGGAACGCATTACCGACTCATGTAGCCACCTGCTAGTACGAATCGGCGATCCGATCCGCGGTTACATGAGCAAAGCAAATACGTATCACGATCGGATTCACCGCTAATGCGAATCAGGAGCGTACTACCGACTCATGTATCCACCTGCTAATACGAATCGGCGGTCCGAACAAAATCCGCTGAGAAACAGGCTTAGAAGCGAATAGGACCAAGATACGTATTACAGGAACTATTTCTTTGCAAAAAGAAACATTAAAATGCAAAATAATAGGTATTTTTTCAATTTCTTCTTTTGAAATAATATTTAAAAAATATGTCGGTATATTGTCAAGTTTTCAACAATAATTATTGTGAAAACCAAATAGTAAATATCCACATAATTTCAGTTGAAACATTTTTCTGACAGCACTACAGACGAATCAAGAGAGGCAATTGCCCAATGAGTCAAAGCAGGACAACTTTATGTTCAACTTTTTTTTGTTAAGTTAATTGAGAATGATTTGAGCAGATTAAATGCAAAAAAGACATAAGATAATAAATTTTTAATTTAGTCACCTCTATTGCTACGGAAGTGCGCCACATTTGTATGCTATTTCGTTTGTAATGCGCATCGGGCCGAGAGCCAAACTAGATCCGTTTGACGTCACTGATACGAATTTGCTCATGTAGTCGGTGCACTGAATGCGTTCTTGGGGAGCTGATGCGAATTAGCGATAGTGCGTATTTGGAACGGATCGCTCATGTAACCGAAACGTCCGAGGCACACGATTCGGGCCGTATTTCACAAGAACTATTCTTTGCTGACTGGAAGCGTCAAAATGCAAAATACTAAGCATTTTTTTATTGGCTGCCTCGTAGAAAATAACATAAAAAAATGTTGGTATTTTGGTTTAGTCTTTGCATGTGAAATAAAATGAATGAAATATTTTGATAGATAATTTTTTCTGACCACCCTGCTGTCGCTGCATGGCGAATCAGTGCCCACTGACTTAAAACAAGAAAACTTTGTTTTCATTTTTTGATTTCATGTTAATTTTAAATGTTTTTGAGCCTATCAAATGATATAATTATTTAAAATTTAGCTCAGTCGTCCCGGTAAATGCCGCAACTGCGCCATGACTGTACGCTAATCCTATTCCGTTTGTGATGCGAATTACCGGCCGTCGAGGAGTCAGCCCGGGTGAGCCAAACAAGATCCGTTTGACGTAGATAAAACGAATTAGTCTCATGTAACCGGTGCCGTAGATCCGTTTGTGGGGAGCTGATGCGCATTAGCGTAGTGCGTATTTGGAACGGATCGCTCATGTAACCCCGGTAATTATAGAGTTCAGTGGTCATTATAGAGTTACGACGTACGGGAATGAGTTATCAGCTGTCTAATCGTAGACAACACAATGTCGAGCCTTAAACTGTAAGCCTGTATTGGTATTGTTTCTTTTATTTGGCTGTCAAACATTATTTATGGTTTGAAATATGATTTTATGTAAAATAATTGAAATGAAAAGCCGTCTCTTAAGTTATGACCCCATTTCACCACACGCAAGTGGCAGAAATGACAATGATCAGCTGACGCATTTTTCTTGGCCGAAGTCAGAGCGCGCGGCCCGACGCACCACCACCGCACCACAAAGTATGAGCAGAAGCCGCGCCCAAAGCCAGGGCCCCGGTAACGTGAGGTAGCCGAGTCGGGGCAGCGTGCGCTGACCCAAGCCGGGGCCGCAGCTTTGGGCGCGGTCTACCACATCTCCGCGGGCAGCCCCGGGCTATCACATGACACCGGGAGGACGCGCGGCTCCGGCTTGGGTCAGCGCACGCTGCCCCGACTCGGCTACCTCACGTTACCGGGGCCCTGGCTTTGGGCGCGGTCTACCGCACCACCTAACAGGCGTGTTCGAAACCGCAGGAGATGATGATGAACGGGTTTATCGAGACTTGATTGGATGAGCATATCGGTAATAGCGATTTCAGTGTGTGCATTTATTGTTCATAGTGGTGTGAAATGTGGTTGGGGTACGACCGACAACCCGTCGGGGCGAATTTCGCACTGGGGTACTCAAAATTTGAAGAATTTAAGACGTTTCCATGAGTTTTGAAGGTATGGATAAGTTCTAAAAATCCGGTTCTCCTTATCTGGGCCATTAACTCCATACGGTCCAGGAAAGCTGGCACACTACCTTTAAGTCTCCAAATAGGGCTTTGCAACAACTTTCATGCGATTTAATCAAAGATTGACGACCACCAGGCCGCTGGTACACCGGAAAATGCAGCGTGAAAATGAATGAAAAACCGAAGTTCCCGGTGATGTGGTTGTTCCAATCAATGGGCCAGTCTTTCAGTAGTCTGTTAAAAACGTTATTTTTTGTTCAAAACATTCATAAATGTAATTATTTTCGATTAGAAAACGTGTGAATTTTTTTATCACGTCGACATGTTATAAGCATCGCCTCGTTCGTCAACTTTCGGTTTTCTGATCGTAAAGTCGGAGAACAGGAACATAAACTAGAATGCTGACTGTCGATTGGTGGCATCCTGCGCATGCCAAATTGCACCAATCAATGCCCAGTTTGCTTTGAAGGTAGCGATGCACATAGCGTCTCCATTTATGATTTATGGAACAGACCGTTTCTATTTTTGGAAACGGCGTATCCATTTTTGGAACATTGTTCCAAAAATGGAAACGTTTCCATAAATGGATCGGAAATACCACAGTGTGCCCGACTGGAATTCATTGAAAAGATGAAGTTGTCTGATTTTGTGACCATATCAATGGGCCTGTTCCAGCGCCTCCAGTAGAAATTCTTGACTGGAGGCTCTACCAGAGGTTTCACTGGAGGCGCTGGAACACAAATCTGGAGATTTCTGGAGGTTGGCGTCACAGATATCAAAAGAATGACGATTGTTCTCTCTTGAAACGCAAAATTTGTTTTCAATTTTATTAACCCTCGCCCCGTTGGGGGGGCCATTTTGGCCCCCCCTGTGGTTTTTCCTGAATAGCAAGAAAACGGCGGCGCGCAGCGCCGCCAAATTTTCAGTACCTTCCCGGGCATCAATTTGACACCTTCACACCAAATTTCAAGTCTTAGGTCACCTTAGGTCAGGAGTTATTGAGGTCAAACTGAGGTCATGTTCGAGCAAAAATGAGCAAAAAACATGCAATCTTGAAGCGCTCACCAAATCTACAGTTATCAAGCAATTTCAAAGTTCTTTATATGGTCTAGTAGACAAAATGCGGCGCTACAAAACTGGTATCTCGGATTTTCAAAGTTTTTGGTTATTGACCAAAAAAATTCAAAAAATTGATTTTTTTAGAAAAACTAAAAAAAAAATCCAAAATTTTTCCGAATTTAAAAAAAAACGGAATATATTTGATAGTCCCAGCACTCTTCTATATACATACCAAATTTCAGATCGATATCTCGTTTTTTGGCCAAGTTATAGCGAAAAAAACTGTTCAAAAATGATGACGTCAAATTTTTTAACTCAATTTTTAGCGATTCTAGACCACGTACGGCAAAACAAAGACCACCATGGAACTCCCCGTGACGAGCTGCATCGATTCGATACCCATTTTATGCAAAAATATTAACTTTGAAATTTGACCTAATTTGACCTGACCTTGGCCTGACCTTGACCTGACCTTGACCAAAACGTGACCTAAGCTGGCCCCAAAGGCTGCCTGACCCACATAATCGCATTTGTCATGTAAAATGGACCATAAAACATGTATCACACGACACTTTCATATTGTGACCCCCCCCCCCCCCCCCCGTGACCTGACCTCTTTGACCTGACCTGGTATCAGTGACCTCAAATAGCAAAATATGTGTTTGAAGAACATTTCCCCATCGATGATTTTCAATGAAATGCATTTTACTCGATTTTACAACGCATTTGTTGAAATGCCTGTAAACGGTGAAAATTGGACCTTTGACCTGACCTGTGACGTCATCGGTTTGACCTAGGTCAATAAAATTGGGTCACAAGGTAGTTCCCCGTTGGGGCTATCCAACGCCGTTTACCGCTTGTCGCTATGTTGCGTGGTTCTCGAGATCTTAGGGGGGGCCAAAATGGCCCCCCCCCAACCGGGCGCGTTGCTCGGCAGAGCCCAACGGGGCGCGGGTTAAGAAAGATTAACAAAATTATAACAATATAATTTTCTTTACATTCAAGTTGTAAAATAATCAGTCAAAGTCCTTTGTTTACATTCGTGATTGTCACATGTGCGCCATAATTGTAGACCAGAGCCTCCAGAGAAGCTTTGGCTTTGGCGAGAGCTTTCTGGAGCTTTCTGGAGGCGCTGGAACGCTCTCTGGAGGATTCTAGAGCTTTCTGGAGGTTTCTGGAGGCGCTGGAACAGACCCAATATATGGTCATCGCCCCACCCACTCCAGCCGTTGATTGGCTAATCCATAGGGCTGTTCACGACGTCGGTTTATCCCGTTTAATAAACCGTAAACATGTTTATTTTTTGAAGGACCAATCAGCGTCGACCTGATCCTGACGTCATATCTCGTCAATGACGTCAGACCTCCGCCGTAAACCGTTTATGCGGTTGATGCCTCAGAGCATCAACATGGCGCGTAAACGCGTTTATGTGACAATGATGGCGATGTGCGGCAAACTCGTGAGGAGAGTTGTGAGTTAGGAAAATTTAATTCGGACAGTTCGGGGGCTGGTAGGTGGGTAAATGAGTTTCAAAATAACCCTGTACGGGTTGCAGGGGACTGGAATGGGAGGTTTTATTATTTCATTGTAATTAAGACCTATTTTGAGCATCGTTCTCTGCTAACCAGCGTCTAGCGTCGTGGGTATTTTGTGATGAAAACTGTCCTTTTTCTTGCAATATGTCATGATATGGGACATGTTTCCATCAGATTATCTTTTCTTTGCACCTTTTACAGTATCTTCTCAACTGCTTATTAGTTGTCACTGTTTAAGTAAACACTCGTGTTTCGTAAACGTAAACGCCGTGTGACGTCACAGCCGGGAACGTGCCCCGAGGGCAGTTTATGTAAACCACATAAACCGACGTCGTGAACAGCCCTCATATTTGTTTGGCTCCTCGTAGTTTCCCAAACTGAATTGCAATGCCACGTGCATTTCACGGGAATCGAACGCGGATGGCTAAATATAGAGGCAAGGAACTTACTTACCCCTTGACCAGAATGCTCATCACAGAACAAACTGTCTAGAACAGAATACTCCTCACAAAACAAACTGTCATAACCACTGATAACCACGAACAAACATCAAAACACAATCGTCTTGTTTTGGTAGAAAGCGCGTGGCTGCCGCGACCCTCAACGCCCCGGCGAATCTGCCGCGCTGTAAATACCCAGCACTGTTCTGTCACCCTCATCTTTTATCAGCAGGCTGCCTTTTACAGTATTTCATTGGTCAGTTTCACGCTGTCAATGAAAGTCACCAATCGCCAGCCGGAATACACCAGCGGAACAGCAGGTAGCAAATAAAATGAACAGTCTTGAGTGTATTCTGTGATTTTACTCTTTTAAAACTGCTTTAAAAGTGACGTCAGAAAACATTCCTTATTGGTCACCAAAACTACTCTATTTGAGATATCCCCCACAACTAGCCCAATCTAAAATAAACCCAACGAATGTAACTTTCTACAAAAGCCCATTTTTCTACAAAACAGGCATATTTACGTCTGGACAACGAGTTGCGGGGAAAAGTGCTGATTTTGTTGCAATTTTAGGAGCCGATGATTAGGCTGGATTTTGGGGATACTTTTTCGTTCCGATTCATGTAGGTATTTCATAGTGTTTGGCTTTTGAATATTTTAGTTCTTTCAGATAAATATTACTTGACTTACAACTTTTGAAAAAACGTTTAATTTTTTATAAGCCGATCTTCAGAGTCCTTAAAATGCATCAGCACTACAATCATTGTAAACAAACAAATGGAGCACCACTTGGCTCTGTTCCAAAGCGCTATTTGGTGGTTTTTGTACTCTTGTACGTCGTTTTGTTGGATGTTTTGAATCCCTTAAGATTGACTTATATCATATTCAAGAAGCATGTGACTGAAAACAATCCGAAGTATCCAGGAGGCTAGGCTAGAGGTCCTGACTCCTGAGTAATATCAATATCAAGTTAAACTTGAAGTTAAAGTTATGAAATTTTGGTTGATAAACGCAAGTTGATCGGGCTCATATATCAGCAAGAAAAAAGTAAAATTGAAAGAGCTTATTGGCCGAAAAAAGCTATGATATTGCAGATCTTGGAGCAATAATGAATGGAGAGCGCGCTCAGCAGGATCATGCCAGAAAATGTTGACTGATGAGCGCATATTGATGTATTGGTATGAATATTGAATGATAACTTACAACAGCAAGATAAATTAGTGCTAACTATCAAGTTAAAAATCTAGAATGAATGGACTTTGGCAGCTTTACTATGCTTAGATGCTATGCAGATTGTTATGTGCATCAGGTACTCAGTGTCTGGCAAATGAAACATGTGATCATTCCATTGCTACTGGAGGAGAAAGCTTGGATCACTAAATCCACTTTATGTTGATTTTGATGTTAATCATTACTGTATTTCTTGAAAAAAGGATTGTTATAAAATTGTCAATGTGACAATCCATGCAACGATGTGATCATATAATGTGTTCATAGTCATTCGTGATAGTGATTGTTGGTCCAATATACAATGGCAAAGCTCTCAGTCTCAGCGTTTCTTCCTGTGGATGGCCAGCAGTGACTCAGAGCTTAGAACTATTAGTTTTCTTCACAGGGCTCGAATAAAAAGTACTGAGGGTAATCTTCCACCAAGGAACTCTACTTTCACATGGTATGAGATGTAGGCACAAGTAAGTAGGTGCTTAGTTCCTATAGTCAGCCAGCAGTTGTGTAGCTTTAGTCGGGTTAGCTTAGATTAGGTTATGCTATTTTTTTTAATTTGCCAAGTGTCCATAAAATGTGGCCTGAGCAATGAGCATACCTGAATAACCTGACAGCTGACCTAACCTCAATCATCACACATATTTGCAGCCTACCGAAAACCTGCATAGCAGTAGCACCCGGTTATAGGTATATAGGTACTCACCCTAACTCAATCATTCTTACCTGCTAACCTTTAACTTGCCAATAGTTAGCTCACCTTGCCAAGCTGCATCCAGGGAAACAGTCAGCTGAGGAACTGGCCCATTGGGTGGCTGGTGTGAGTCTGTACATTTAAAACGTTTCTTCTCTGAAGCTGCTCTGCACTGCTGTATGTCATGTCAGATGCTCAGAAAAAATATGGGAAATGATGACTAAGCTACTTTAGTGCTTTGTTAAATGTTAATGCTCGAGACATGAATAAGTACAAATCCTGCAGGGTACAGCTGTGAGTTAGGTGCTAGGTGAGTATGTTATGTGAATGTGCTGTTCCCTGTTTGACCTAGGTAAGTATGTTATGTGAATGTGCGGTTCCCTGTTTGATTGTAGTAAGTATACAAACAAGCACAGGGTCACAGTTATATTCAATCTCCACATAAACATACCACAAAAATGGCCATATAGCCTCACTCCGAACACACCACAAAGAACTTAAGCCTTTGCAGGCACAAAAATGCTTTGATTTACAGGACAGGTATACAATATATCCTCTGTCCTTGGGGATCTTGCTGCCAAGTTGAGGTACGATGACTGAACTCCAGGAATGATCAACCTTTTCTTCTCAGCCACTGCTTATATACGAGAAAGACCAAATGCTTGTTTGTAAACTGCCTTGAAAATTTAATGATCCACCTTCAATTCTGACATGAAGGCAAAAAAAAATAAAAAAGTTCCCTCTCCTTTTGGAATACACAAAGCAAAATATTTAATAACTTCTAGTGGATGCACAATAGCAATTAGCATAGCTTCACCTCAAGTCAACTCCTCTCTGCTCTGGCACACTTATTCGCTTCATATTTTGTAACAAACGCGCTAAAACTGCAATATAACAGCACTATATGCTTCTTGAAAAAATGCAAAAGTAGTAAAAATTCAGCCCTGCTGGCATTCATTCTTGTTGGAAACGTAATAACAAAATAATTTGTAGTAAGTATTGAATTCTGGCCGAAAACAGTGCCCGATTTAAAAAAGAATCATTCCAAAGACGGTCCATTCTTGCGGTCCTGAAATCGCCACTATTTCCGGCCTCTCCAACGCAACTCGTTGTCCAGACGTAAATATGCACAAAACAGACCCAAAGATTGAAGAACCATAGATCAATGGTACCTATTTCGAATCTTGGCAATTTCGAGCCTATGACGTAGCATCTTTGTCGCTGATAAGCTCAACGAATGGTAACCCAAAATTGTCGAAACACACACCCTACACCTTGCCCTACACGTTGTTGTTGTCTTTATGTGGCCTTGGTCAAAACAGTCGGCATCTTGTCCTATGTCGATGTTTCTTACCTATTTCCCACTCCCAGTTTTATTGAGATCAAGGCCAATCTGAATCGAGATAAAGTATTTGCGTCGGTTAGTCGGTAGTTGTTTCAGGTAAAAGTAGGTACATTGAGTCCGAGTGACTGTTAAAAGATAGTTTTCATATTCTTACATTATTTGACATCCTCAATCCAAAAATGATAATTAAATGTTTTCGGGAAATAAAAGAAAATACATAATCAAACCTGACCTTACCTTACCTATTTACCTACAACCTACCAACCTACAACCTACAAACCTACATCCTAACCTAACCTATGGGCGCAAAATGACCTTGTAGTCGGCGCGCCCTTAAGCCCCAATAAACAACAACAACCTAACCTAACCTAACCTACAAACCTACCAACCTACAACCTAACTTAACCTAAAACCTAAATTTTTTGCTGTTACATATATGTATCAACAGCGTCACAATTGTCCACTCGGACCTAATGTATACTAATACCGTTGTTTCACTTCCTACATTACATACCAATACTGATACTATACTAGCCTTGGATATAAATCAATGCTATTTGTTTGGGCCTTGTCTGGGTGCCAATTTTCCACTCTTATCCCCTTTTTGGTGAGTGATATCCCCTCAGACACCCAAGCCAAATCAAATTTTTGTGATGCTGCAGGGGGAGGGCTAATTGGTGATGTCCTTCACCTTGGCAGAGGTCAAAGCTATGAGGGCCTTTAGAATACCCGTCTGTTACAATTTGACCACATCATGCATTTATCGTAGGCTCTTTATCTGAATTGGTTATGTACCTACAAAGAGTATATTAAATAAATCCACTGTGGGCTGTGGCCGTATTCACAATCACGGGTTCAGGGTAGGGGTAAGAGCAATGGGTAACGCATTATTTTTGTGGCCGTAATCACAATTGAAGTTTACCCCTGATTGTTTCCCGGCGCCACGCAGACAGCACCACGCAGGCCAGGTGCCGTCTGCGTGGCGCCGGGCGACCGTCAGTGGTAAACTTATGTTGTGAATAGGGCCACAAACCCGTTACCCGTTACTTCTACCCCTACCCTTGACCCTTGATTGTGAATAAGGCCACTGGTTCAAACAGAACTATTTTGTTTCACATTTTTACAAGATAAATTGCTACTGAGAAGCTGATTCACTGCCAGGAATGTGTTGTCTGATGTAGGGTTGGGGTATGGATGAAAGGTTGGGGCATGGTTGGGGTATAGATCATGGATGATGGGAAGTTTGTATGTTTAGCTTGCATTACTGACAGCTGCCCAGTAAACTCACCATGTATCTCTTATTACCTACTTTTTCAGTACTTTAATAGCTATGATGATTTTGTGATGTGTCCGTCTGTGTTGTGTGTGCCGGCGCATGCTTTGCAGTGTGCACGTCTCCTGCATGCTAATGCATGGCCCTCTTGCTTTGCAGTGGATGTTGTGACAGCCGGGCCGAAATATACTTAAGATCTGAACACGACGGGTGTTACATTGGTGGCAGCCTTCGGCCCGGCTTGGGACCCAAGTTTCCGAAGGGATTGTTGCATGGGTGTTGGTGCAAACCTCAGTGCAACTGTCAACTAACGACGTTAGAATGCCTGACTCAAAGCAGGAGGTGGCCCACCTGGGTGCACAAGCTGTTGGACATGCTCGACTGGAGAAGTTTGATGGCATTGATGATGTCCATCGGTTCCTGGATCACTTCGAGGTGGTTGCACGTGCTAATGGTTGGACTTTGGCTGTACAGGGCCTGCAGCTACCAACAGCTCTCACTGGTGCAGCGTTCGATTTTTATCGTAGCCTCCCAGTTGAAGAGCGAGACACTGTTTCAAAACTGAAGTTGGCTCTGGAGAAGGAGTATGGGACATGCGCTCTGGAATCGGACTATGCGCAAATGTTTGCATCCAGACGGAGGCAAGTGGGTGAGTCATTGCTGGATTTTGGTGAAGCATTGAAGAGTTTGGGTCGCAAGGCCTATCCTAGTTTCTCATCTGAACAGCTTGAGAAGCTGTGTCAGACACATTTCATCAATGGTGGTCTGGCTGAAGCTCTGAGAGTACAGTTGTTGGTGGGAGCTGGGGAGCATGAATCGTACAGAGAATTGATCGCCCGGGCAAGGAGGTTGGAGCGGGTTTTGGCTCCATCGCTGGTGAGGGCTGTGGCGTCGGACACCCCTCAAGTTGCATGCTCAGAGAAGACCCAGCTTCAGAAACTGACTGAGGCGGTGTCAGTTCTGGAACAGAAAGTGGACAGTCTTCAGAGGGGCGTCGATCAGAGGGGAGCGACCAAACCGCAGAATCCTTGCCCTATCTGTGGTGAGAAAGGACACTGGAGTCGTCAGTGCCCTAAGAAGAGCAGTGGGAAGAAGGAGCAGATTGTCTGCTTTAAGTGTCAACAGCCGGGCCACTTTGCAAGAGGCTGTGCGAATTTCTAGTGCGCGCGACTGGTGCGGGGCTGCCTGTCGCGCTGCCCTTGGCTGCTCCTGATATGCCCCCACATTTTCATCGCTGTGGGGAAGACGGCGATGTCGCGGCTCGGCTACCGCCGCCGGCCTGGGCGTCGCCTGTTGCCGCTGCGTCGTCGTCGTCGTCTGGGGTGCGGCCCTCTGGCGCTGCTGTTGCTGCGTCGCCGCCTGTCGTCGCGTCGCTGCCGCCGGCGGGGGTGCCGTCGGTCCGGCCGTCTTCTGCGGGACTGCGTGCGCCGCCGTTTCGGCCGCCGGTTGTGGACTCTGTGTTGGCGCCACCGATTTGGGGACCGTCCGCCGTCGGTGGACCACATCTGTGGCCCTGTGTGTTGCCTGCTGCCCCGCTGCCGCCTGCGGGGGTGCTGCCGGTCTGGTCATCGCCCGCGGGGCTGGGTGCGCCGCTGCCGGCTCAGCCGCCGCCTTTCGGGGGTGACCCGGTGGAGATGGCGTGGCCACCGGTGGGGGCGCCGCATGCCGGTGCTGCGTCGCCGCCTCCGGCCGTCGCCGTTCCGTTGCTCCCGACTGGGATGCCGCCGCTGCCGTCTTGGGAGTCGCCTGAGGGTGCTGGTGCGCGGCCGCCGGTGGGGGCGTCGCCGGGGGCCGCTGCGTCGGTGCCGTCGTCTGGGGCGCGTCCCGTTGGCGCTGCCTCGCCGCCGATCTGGTCGTCGTCGGCGGAGCTGGGTGCGCCCGCGCCCGCTGGGGGGCCAGCCATCGTGGGTGTTTTGCGGCCTCCGGGCGTCACGATTCCGCCTCTCGATGTCGCGTTTCCGCCGCCGCCGGCTGGGCCGCCGCCGATTGTGGATGCTGCTGCGCTGTCGCCGGCGGGGACCCCGCCTTCGGGGAGTGCGCCGGTCGGGGTACCGTCTGTTGCCGATGCTGCGTTTCCGTGTGTGGCGGCGCCGTCTGCGAGTGCTGCGTTGCCTGTGGCGGACTGCGCGGCGAGTTTGTCTGCATTTCCGGGTGCATCTCCCGCTAGGGGCGCGGGGATGTTGCGTGCGCTGCCGTTCGCGCTCGCGGCTACGCGTGCGGGGCGCGTTGCTGATGGTCGGAGTGTTCAGGTGTCTTCAGCTTCGAGGATGGGAGGTCGTGATGGCGCTGAGGTGTTCGTGTCGGGCGCGGTGGACGATCGCAGGGTGGAGTGGCTTTTGGACACGGGTGCTCAATGTAGTGTTGTTTCATCGGAGGTGATATCAGGTTTAGATGTTAAGAAGATACCTCCAGTGAGACAGCCAGTCACGGTGGATGGGAGCGCCCTGGATCTCATGTGTGTAATTATTTGTGATGTCACTGTAGGTGAGCAAACATTGCGTGACCAGCCTCTGTACGTGGTGCGTAACCTGGCTCCTAGCTGTATTTTGGGAACGGATGTTTTGAAGAGGTTGGGTACTTCTGTTTCGATAGACTTCTCAACCGGCACTGTCAGCGTGCGTCGATGCAATGTTTCTGAGATGGCAGATTGTGTTCGTTTGTCAAAGGAAGTCTGCATCCCTCCTAAGCATCAGAGCGTGGTATTGTGTACGGTGCCACCGGGTGTTAGCGGTAATGTGGTCGTGGAATCCAGTGACCTATTGTCCGAGCGCCATACTGTGATGTGCGCGAGAGCTATGACACAGGTTCCCCCTGACCGCTTGATTCCAGTGATGTTGCTAAATCCTACGTCTCGAGAGGTGCGCCTGCCGAGCCACGCGGTAGTGGCGCGCTTGGCGTTTGATTCGAGCTTGTGTGACACTGGTGTCGATGTGAGTGGTGCGTCTTGTGACTGGGTGGATCCGTTGATTCGTGACTCTGATTTGTCAGAAGACAGCCAGCGGAATGCGTTGCGCGACTTACTCATGCGCCACGAGCGTGCTTTCTCTTTGAATGGCGAGCTGGGACAGTGTGGTCTTGTAAAGCATGCCATCCCACTGGTGGAGGGCGCTGAGCCTGTGGCGCAGCCCCCGAGGAGGGTAAATGTCAATGACAGGCGTGACGTGGAGGACACCATCCAGAAGATGCAGCGGGATGGGGTCATCCGGTCGAGCTGTTCCCCATGGAGCTCCCCGATCGTACCGGTACGTAAAAAAGACGGGTCTTTGCGACTGTGCATAGACTACCGTCGTTTGAACGATGTTACCCATGGCGATTCCCACCCACTGCCTCGAGTAGAGGACTGCCTTGATGCTTTGTCTGGGTCGGTGTGGTTTAGCGTTCTCGATTTGCAGTCCGGATACTGGCAGCAGGACATAAATGAGCGAGATATGGAAAAGACTGCTTTTTCGACTCACACAGGCCTTTGGGAATTTCTGAGAATGCCGTTCGGTTTGAAGGGGGCCCCTGCCTCCTTCCAGCGTTTGATGATGGCCGTGCTTGCCGGGCTAACATGGAAAGAATGTTTGGTTTATCTCGATGATGTCATTGTGTTTGGAAAGTCATTTGATGAGGCGTTGCTGAATGTCGATCACGTTCTGGATGCTGTGACAAGTGCAAATCTGAAGCTCAATTTGAAAAAGTGTAGCTTTTTTCGGCGGGAGGTTAGGTTTTTGGGGCATATAGTCAGCAGTCGTGGTGTGGCCCCGGACCCCGACAAGGTTTCCTGCGTGCGCGATTTTAGCAGACCTCAGAACGTGCATGATGTGCGAAGGTTCATTGGTCTTGCGAGCTACTTTCGGAAATTCATTCCCGAGTTTTCCACAGTGGCGAAACCTTTGTTGAGACTCACAGAAGAACGAGCTAGATTTTCCTGGGATGACTCATGTGAAGCGTCATTTAGTGACTTAAAACGGTTACTTACCACAGCGCCAGTGCTGGCGTTCCCTGATTTTGACGAGGAATTTGTGCTAACGACGGATGCTAGCGCCATTGGTTTGGGAGCCGTTCTGTCTCAAAGGATCGGTGGTGTAGAAAGGCCAGTGGCGTACGCTAGTCGATGCTTGACGAAGGTTGAGGCGCGGTACAGCGCGACAGAGCGGGAATGTCTGGGCGTTGTTTGGGCTGTCCGTCATTTTGCTGTTTACCTACAGGGCCGCCCGTTCATTCTCCAGACTGATCACTGTCCTCTGACCTTCCTCCGTGGCTGCAAAGATCCACGAGGAAGACTCGCTCGGTGGATTCTCGAGCTCGAGCAGTTCCCTTACCGCATGGTGTACCGCCCTGGTCGTGCCATTCCTCACGCAGACGCCCTGTCCCGGTCGGTTGTTGAGCCGAGTGTACGACACATAGAGCTCAGACCGGACGAACTCCGAATGCTTGTAGCTCAACGTGGTGATCGGGACATTCTTCAGTTGATTGTTTGCTTGTTGTACGATGTGCCCCTTCCAGCTAGCCCTTCGGCGTCGCTGAGACGTCTCTTGAGTGTCCGTGATGCCCTAGAGGTGGACGCGTCTTCTGGGCTGCTGTACGCCAGCAGCGATGGCCGAAGGAAGCTCGTGATTCCTGCTGGGCTGGTCCAGGAGGTCTTGTCAGAGGCACACGATAGCGCCTGGTCTGGACACTTGGGTGTCGCGAAAACTCTTGAAAGGGTGAAAGAACGATTCTTCTGGCCAAGTTTGGCAAGTGACGTTACGGCATATGTCAAGTCTTGTGACCTCTGTGCCCAGAGAAAGAGTCCAACTCGTCCTTACCGGGCCTCCTTCGGAAGGATGCCGGTCCCCTCCCGTCCATGGGAGTGGGTGTCCACCGATATCACCGGGCCCTTTCCGGAGTCGGACAGAGGCAACAAGTATATACTTGTCGTCACTTGTGGATTTTCGAAGTGGGTTGAGGCGTTCCCTCTTCCCAATCAGGAGGCTGGCACTGTTGCTGAGGTTCTTGTTCAGGAGTTGTTTTGCAGATACGGTTGCCCTCAAGTGATCCATTCCGATCAGGGTAGAAATTTTGAGAGTCGTCTTTTTCGGGAAGTTTGTGCTCACCTGGGTATTGAGAAGTCCCGAACCAGCGGCTACCATCCACAATCGAATGGGCAGGTGGAAAGGTTTAACAGAACTGTGTGTGCCATGCTAGCGATGTTTGTGGCTGACAACCAGCGTAACTGGGACCTCTTTCTGGCGAAGGTTGTTTTCGCTTACAATACGAGTAAGCACCAAACCACTAGGGTTACTCCGTTTGAGTTGTTCCATGGACGGTCGCCCAGACTTCCGCTGGACGTGGCCTGTGGGGCGGAACATTGCCCAGCTGATGGGGTTTATTCGGCGTCCGAGCTAGCTGAGATTCGAGAAAAGGTGGTCGACGCAATCAAACGTGCTGCCGCTCTTCGAGCGGAGAGGAACGAGTCTGTGTCGAACCAGACGCAGTACATCGTGGGAGACTTTGTCTGGCTGCATCGCGCAGTAAGGAAGAAGGGACTGTCTCCCAAGCTCCAGAGGCCGTGGACGGGTCCGTACCAGATCGTGGAGGTGTTGTCACCGCAAACCTACCGAATTAGGTTGGCGGTCGCCGGTAAGCGGACGTCGCTGGTGGTCCACCACGACAGGATCAAACCGTGTGTCGTCCGAGAGGATGAGGCCTACAATGATGAGAGTGAGAGCATCGTCGATCAGCCCGTCGATCGTCGTCCGCCCCCGGGGGGCCCTGTGGGGGACGGGAGTTCTCCCGGTGGCCATGACGACGTCCATGATGACGTAGAGCCAGAGTATGTGGTCTTACCAGTGGATTCCGCTTCGAAGTCTCTGGACATCCGTGGTTCGGGTGCTTCCTCTGAGACTGTTCCACGTGATGTGGAACTCGATGATGATGATCATAGCGGTGGTCCGATACCTGATGGGACCCCGTCTTCGCCTCAGCCGGAGAATGTTGACGCGACAGAGTCGATCCCAGGCATTGAAGGTGAGTCTGGGGATGGGCTGGTTCCTTCTGAGCAAGGGGAATCAGCTGGAGGCCCAAGTGACTCTGCTGTGCCCCACGAGGAGAGACGAGATTCGCGGGCTGTCCCTGAGAGCCACTCGATTTTGTTGCCAGTTGCAGAGCCTGATAGTGGGGTACGCAGGAGTGGTAGGTCACGACGTCCTCCAGATATGTTCGGAGACTGGATTCGTTAATCGTTAACCGTTTCGATGTTTTGCGCTTCGTGTGTGTGCTTACGACGCGGTACGGATGCTGTCGGGCGGGGAGAAATGTGATGTGTCCGTCTGTGTTGTGTGTGCCGGCGCATGCTTTGCAGTGTGCACGTCTCCTGCATGCTAATGCATGGCCCTCTTGCTTTGCAGTGGATGTTGTGACAGCCGGGCCGAAATATACTTAAGATCTGAACACGACGGGTGTTACAATTTCATAGAGGATGACCACCTGCAAGTCAGTGTATTGAGAAGTGCACACCTATTATCATATTGCTGTTAAGACTATTGGTATGGACAGAGATGGAATGGCTAGTCAGGTAAGAATTTACACCTGCTCAACCAAATAGAATAATATGCATGGTACTGGTAGTTCATTGCTCATCACATATTGATCTTGAAATATTATTTGTCTTGCTATTGACTTCCATGCAGGGCTGCGGAGTCGATGGATTTTCGGCGACTCCGACTCCGACTCCGGCTTTCAAAAACCAGCTCCGACTCCGATTCCGGGCAGAATTGTCGACTCCGACCGACTCCAACTCCCGACTCCTACTCCGCAGACCTAGCAGGGCTGCGGAGTCGATAGATTTTGGGTGACTCCGACTCCGACTCCGGCTCGGGTTTCTAAAATCGACTCTGACTCCGACTCCGACTCCGGTCACAACTGTCGACTCCGACCGACTCCGACTCCGATTCCGCAGCCCTGCTTCCATGCTGCATCAATTTGAATTTTAATCTGCATACTTCTGTTGATTAGTAAAGTAATCTTGCCTGTATTCGCCGTTAGTGATAAGTCATTACATATGGATCATCACATGAATCATCGTGCCATTAGGTATGACTGCTACACTATACCAGCGCCGGCAGCTGACGGCGGCTGATGGCGGACCTGGGCGTATGCCGCTGCGTGGACGGCGGCCGCACCTCGTTCGACTTTGCCTCTGCTTACCGGGCGGGGTGCGGCCGGCGGCTGCGCGGCGGTGGGTGCCCGGTTTGCCTATACGGACGGGCTGTGTGGGTGGCGGGAGGGGTGCTGGTCGGTGTCCGGAGGCGGTCGTTTTATCTTTGATTTATTTTCGGTATTCTGTTGGAGAGGTACCTTGAGTTAAGCAGTTTTGCTTTGTGCCAATCCATCTGTATCATCATCTCACAATGCATGTCCATGATCGAAAATAAATAAACAAACAAACAAACAAACCAGTGCATAACATTGCTAGCTAAAAATTCATTTTACGACTATGATTACCAGAATGTTTTCCCTCACACCGGGCACCCACGCTCCACCGTCAGCCTCTGCTGGGGTCAGACGATGACGAGCCGCGATCGGCGGCGCCCGGTCGCCACGCGGCGCTACAGCAGCAGCGTCTGATGGCCGGCCGCCAGCAGCAACAGCTGGACCGCATCGGCAGCTCGGTCGGCACGCTGCGCAACATTTCCCGACAAATCGGCGACGAGGTCGATCAGCAGAACGTGTGAGTGTACCCGCTGCACTGACCCTGCAGGACATCGTGCATCGTACACAGGGGTCAGCAAAACAGTGCGGCTCAGTCTGAATCAAGGGCTTGAGGGCTTTGAAAGCTCCCTGTGGTGCGCTAGCCGAGCATTAGCACCTCTGAAAAACTAAGCACTTGTGGTTTGCTGTTCTTTTTATCTCGTGAAAAGAGATTTGATGATGTATTCATTAGCAAGTAACAGCCCACTGAAACGGACGCATCACAGGAGGATCAATTGTTCTATTCATTTGTTGATGATTTAATTTGTACGAGCTAAGTTCTTTACAAACTTGAAAAATGGACAGGATTGATCTTCAGCGAAATGAACTATTTATTTCGTCGTATGCATCGACCTCTACGGGTGAATCCCTGATAGAGGGGAGGAGCTGGAGTCCCGGAGCTTTGGCGTATCCAAATATCCAGACTGCGGATCTTACCGGACCTACTCTTGACTGCGGCTGCTGTCAGGTACAGACCTGTCTGCCTGGAGGTTCGTGAATCGAGCGCCGGAGCAATTTGAACCGGGTATTACACCGGTCACTTAACTCTCCTCCAACTGAATTACGGGGTGAATGTTAGTGCATCGAATGGTATTGCTTTGCTTCGCAGACTAGTCGAGGACATAACTCACGACGTGGATTCTGCGCAAGGCAAAATGGATGCTACGATGCACAAAATGGCCAAAGTTCTAAGAATCACAAATGGTGAGCAGTAACAAATGCTCGGTTAAAGTGAGCTGGTGTAGAAATCATGTCAAACATTTCTGCCTTACTCTGATCCGTGATGTTAACATGCACCTCCAATAATATAAGCGAAGTATTTTCTTGCCTTGCCCGTTCAGCAGCGTACTTTGTAATTGGAATGTTAATTGTCAATACTTTTGCCGCTAAGTGACAACTGCAGTCTTCATACACTTGCCTCATATGTTTCGAATGACGATGTTGCTCTGTTTCAGATCGTCGTCAGTGGACAGCGATTGCCGTGTTATCACTTATACTCTTCATTATCATACTGTTGTTCTTCATTCTTTGACGGCACCAGTCATCCGACGAGCTTCGCTACTGTTGTTGCAGTCAGGCCGGCTTTTGCCATTGCACCTATCTGTGATAACCGAGATAGATGAACGGGCTAGCCACGCGAGCAGTTATAACCGAACCTTATCCAGAAATAGTAACCGATTCATTGTGGAATGAGCTGGGAGGGAGCAAAGTAGCATTAGGTTATAGTGGCGTCATCGTAATTTTTATTATCTTTGTCTACAAAGAACTGCAATTTGCTCCATTTCCTTTAGTTCATTGAGGTACGTTCGCACTTCGCGTTGAGCCTCATTCACGAGAATGAAACGATGGTCACAGTATATTACACCGTGATAATGCAGGCATGGTGTATTCAGCAGCCCTTAATAGTTAATACCCAACCTTATCTGTAAGAATCTTGTTTGATACCACCGATTGACCTATAGCAGATCGTGATCCAGAATCATTTCCTCTGTGAGACGTAGTGCTCTTACGCTAAGGTCAGGTTTTGGTATCAGTGGTAAGCGGGAGCATCAACATGGCACTGAGACTGATGGCTTGGCTTTCTGGTTTGTCCTGTCCGATTCCGGTCTCGACCCCCTCTGTCATATCGGTACGGGCGCCGTTCCGTTCACCGGCTCATTGCTGAGGTGGTCCTATATAATACTGAACGAGGCCGGTGTAAATAAATTTTCAAGACCGAGGTCCTTACTGGATTTTTGAACGAGGCCGAAGGCCGAGTTCAAAAATCAGTAAGGACTGAGGTCTTGAAAATTTATCACCGGCCGAGTTTGGTATGTATTTTACTGTATGCCAACGATGCCAACGATAAATTTATTTTCTGGACCGAAGCTCTTAGCCGACTTAGGAACGAGAACATCCCAAAATGTTGGCTTAAGTGCATTCTGGTAATGCATTTTTGACCGTGGTCAATTTGCTTACACCAGTTATTACCACACCCCTCTGGCTAATGTATTTGAATAGACCAGGCATACAGTAAAAACTGTCGCAGTGGTTTGTGCGTTGTATTTCGCCAAAGACGAGATCGCTAAATACTGACTGAGATACAGATATTCGTGTCATCTTCTACTCAGAAAGTGTTAGGTACGAAGGTAGTGTCGTGCTACCGACCCGTACGTTGATAACGTGCCATTTCAGATGGGTTGAAACTGTATGGATGTTAGACCACCACAAGGGCGTGCTTTGGAGATTGGCCGATGGCCATACCGCTGCGTTCACGGTTACCTATATTTAGGTACCTATATACATCTTTACTTATGTTGTTGCATTACATATTTATGATATGGGCATTTACTCCATACCAGTCATTGCTTCGGTCTCGTGATGTTTTGAATCTCGTCCTGCCTTTCAGTTAGCTTTGAAAAGCAATGGTCGAGCCGTCGTGTCCGTTGGGCACTAGACTTTCGACGGCTGTCGTCAAGTGTTCACATCGCCTAGTGTAAAACTCGTCTGCGATTTGATGTACGGTAACTTTGAAATGTGTTTGGTTGTTTTCGTTGCAAAAGTTACAATAAAAATACATAATGAGCGATTTCTTGTTGTTACCCAAGGTGCATATCGTGGCGCTAATGGAATGGTCCTTTACATCGTCTGTCGTTCTCAAGGTCTTTTTTCACGCTTCTTTCTCCGGATTCACCACATCCTACTCACCTCAAACACCAGGGCCTCGTTTCATAAAACTCTGCCGTAACTTACACCTTTCCGTAATTCACACCCTTTCAAACTACGGAGCGCAAATAAATCCGTTTCACAAAGCCACAACTGGAATTGTTTACACCTCCGTAACTAAGCACATTTGCGTAGTTACCGTAATTTATCAAGCGTCCTACAAATTACAATTTCATGTCAACACTTATTTTTTTACGAGAATTTATAAAACAATTATGTTGAATTTAAATCTTAAAAATTATGTATGAAAAAACAAAATTGATATTGATGACCATCCTTTATTAAAACAATATATTAAAAACAGCAGAAAGCCAGGTAAGCAGAAGTGCCTGACTACGAAAGTGGCGCGGCGCGGCGAATAAACAAAATTCCGATAGTGGCCACAAAAAGCGACTGGTACAGAAGATTTGCAGTTTCTTTTTCTCATTTTGGCTGTTCTTTCTTCCTCACCGGGCTCAACATTATAAAATATATTAAAAATTAGCTTCGAATCTTCACATTAATTCAAAATCACGCAACATTTTTGTGCGTAGTTTACACCACTGATATCAAGAGCTTGATAAAATATTTGGCGTTAATTACGTCGTTTTATGAAACCCAAACGGCATCAATTGGTCCGGAATCGAGCAATTGCCGTAAATGAAGCTCCGTACTTTCGATGGCGTGAATTACTCCGGTCTCCGGCTTTATGAAACCGAATTGGCATCAAATACGCCAAATCTGGCATAATTGACGGAACGCCGTAAGTAATTCCTTTTATGAAACGAGGCCCAGGGCGGTGTTTCACGGGCTGCTGCTACCACGCTGCTATCAAATTGCGCGAGCTGACGTCACACTTGTGGTAGTGTTGGAGCAATGGGCCTGTTGATGTTTCCATGGAAACCCAATTTGACACGTGTAAAAGCAGCTTGCTGCTATCACCGGTGAAACAGGGCCCCGTACCGAGTTGGTTGACCGGATGACCACTGCCATCGGATGTTTGTAGCGAGAGCAGGGTCTCTAGCGATGGGGTGACCCGTGACCGTAGTTCTTCGTAGCGTGCCAGGTTTGAAAAATAAGTGTAGGAGAAAACCACGGGCAATAGCGGCGGAACACCTTCAATTAAGGTGGGGGGCAGGGACGTAGCCAAGGGGGGGGCGGAGGGGGCGCCCGCCCCTCCCTTGGGGTTTTCAGGAGGCCCCCCGAAAGGATTCAGGCCAACGTGGGCCGAAGGCCCACGTTGGCCTGAATCCTTTCGGCCTGAATCCAACGTGGGCCGAAGGCCCACGTTGCCCAAAATCACGTCGGAGGCGAACGAAATTCACGCGGGAATCTAAAAAATGACGTCAGAACAATCAGGGCCCTCTGACCAGCCTGACAAGTGACAGCTAGGGCCCTTCTCATCTCCTGTGAATAACCACTAGTGTCTGTGTCTGACCGCTAGGGCCCCTCTGACTCCTCAGTAGAGAGGAGGCCCTCTGTGGGTAGGAGGCCCTGTGTAGAGAGGAGGTCCCCTTAGAGAGGAGACCCCTGTAGAGAGGAGGCCCTCTGCAAAAGGAGGCCCTCTGTAAAAAAGAGGCACTCTGTAAAGAGGAAACCGGCTGAAATAAGAAGGCCCTTTGAAGAGAGGAGGCCCTCTGTAGAGAGGAGATCGTCTGAAGAGAGGAGGCCCTCTGTAGAGGAGGACTCCCTCAGTAGAAAGGAGGTCCTCTGTAGGTAGGAGGCCCTCAGTAGAGTGAAGGCCCTCTGAAGAGAGGAGGCCCTTTGCAGAGATGAGGTCCTCTGTATATAGGAGGTCCTGTGTAGAGACGAGACTCTGAAGAGAGGAGGCCCTACATAGATAGGAAGCCCTCTGTAGAGAGGAGGTCCCTGTAGAGACTAGAGAGGAGGCCCTCTGTAGAGAGGATGCCCTCTGTAAAGGAGGCCCTCTGGAGAGAAAGACACCCTCAGCAGAGAGGAGGCCCTCAGTAGATAAGAGGCAATCTGTAGAGAGGAAGCCCTCTGTAGATAAGAGGCCCTCTGTGGGCAGGAGGCCCCCGGTAGTCAAAGACAGCGTCGTATATTAAGTACATAGAGTGGAGGCCCACTGTAAGCAAATTACCTTCTGGCTTCTGTTCCCTGCTACTCTCTATAGAGAGTTCTCAGTTCTCACTATAGTGAGAACTGAGAACTCAGGAAACTGTACAGAATAGACTCCCAACTGCGTCGCCGCCCACTGTAGGAAGGGACAGGGGAGGAGGTCCTCTGTAAACAGAAGGCCCTATCCTATGTAGACAAATTATTTGTATAAATGCGCTCAGAGAAATCATGCTGGGTGCAGTCAACGGTTTCGCCGTCAACGGTTTTACCTGCAGTGGCCGCAAAAACTGCCAAAATAGCCGATATTTTCGGAAACCAGTTTTCGGCAATAACTTTCGTCTCAAAAGTTGCACGAACTTCCCTTTACCAGCATCGTGTTCCTCTCGTCAAGACGTGTGGAATGAACTATCAATTGACCTTGAAAGGTCAACTTGAAAATTTGGCCTCAGGTCAAGGTCATGACCTGACCGATAAGGGCTAAGTTCCATATCAGTCCATCCGTACCTATCGTCGAGCCAAACACAACTAAGGTGTACGCTCTAGCATGCCTCTATCAAAAGTTATTCGCGAAAAACAGTCAGATACCATTGGTGACCTGAGATGACCTCAGGGTTATAAAAAGGGGTCACGGGTGCCATTTTCATGTTCAGTGTGTCAAAGATAAGATAATTCAGTGTTTTAGAGTGTTTATAATGACTTCCGTCTAAAAAGGCGACTTTCAATTTAAGATCGCAAAATTGACCTGACCTTATGTCATCGATATCAAAATTCCAAGACGTACATTTTTGTTGCATTTTGTCGCTCTTGTGCATTTGCATCTCTGAAAGTTTCAAAGCGTTTGATCACTCCGTGTAGCTTTGGCAGACATTGAAACTTTTTATGTAGTGAGGTCATTTGACCTGACCTGGTGACCTGACTTTAAGTGACCAGGGTCTGAAATTTTCACAACATATGTAGAAATGATGTAGGATAAAGTGTGCCGCGCCGCCGTTTTTGAGATATTCACGGTAAACTGCAGGGGGTGTTTAATACCCCCCCCCCCCCGGCAGGGCGCGGGTTAATGCATGAACACAGCAGCCCATTTCTGTAATATATAGGTACCTGTGGCTGTGTTGGTATTTTTACGATGGGTGCAGTTACCCAAACCATTTATCAGACCGTAGTGATATTCCCATAGCCATGCTTCGCACAACTCATAATAATTTATTTGACCGGGAAATTAATATATACCTATCCATCGATTGTTTGTTTCATCTACAGTGTAAATGAAGCAAACCACCTGGACCTAGGAAAATTTACTAACGAAACCATGTTTTACTTACAGCAAGTAAACGTGGCATCATTCACACAGAAAAAATTGATAACCGTATAGTTTCAATCTTGCAGACGTCAGTCAGGTCAGAATCGTGACAAGCCTATTGGAAAATATAATGAACTGTGTCCTGCTTCGAGAAAACGAGTCAAAACCACCCAATTCTTTCTGAATTACGTCAGATTATCTGATCTGTAAGCACCTAGGTGGCATTTACTGACAGGGGCACCGGGAAGGATCATCTGAGGTGATGTAAGGTCATCAACAGTTTTTAGCCAATAAATCACGACATGATGGGGAAAAATAGTTGTTAGTGTACCAAACCGTTCGCCTAGTCATGACGCGCCGATTGGTACACAGCGTGACCTTCCTAGGTACCTAAGATTTTGAAGTTGACCTATCTATGTAGGTCGTTATAAACCATGTTATTTGTTATGACCTCTGGCGACCTCAATATTGACCTGACCAAAAAAAGTTGTGTACAAAAGTTGTAAGTCGTTCAACGAACTATCAAACGCCGTTGCCGTTTGTCGCTACGATTCGTGCTTTTCGAGTTCTGACGGGGGCCAAAAAGGCCCCCGCCCGATTCAGAGTCTTTCAGAGCCCGCCCGGAATACGGTTCAGCACTTGAACGATATATGATAATACACCAAGTGTTACTCTGACCGTCATCCAGTATCCACCAATTCCTCGCAGATCCTCCCCCTCCTGCTGCGGTCCGGCCGCCGCCGCCGCCGCCGCCGGCGCCCGAGTTTTTTTTTGCCAGTTACCATGCCACTCGGAGACTTGTGATATGCGTATGTTTCTTACCGCGACAGCGGTAAGAATAAAGAAACATACCAGTGCACTGGCCATATGAAAGCTGAACAAAAGTCTGCATTATGTTGTATATGTAATTATGTAGGCATGAGACCCTCTGTAGAAAGGAGGCCCCTTTAGGGAGGAGGCCCTCTGTAAAAAGGAGGCCCCCGGAATTCCTCCGCCCCTCCCTTGGCCAAATCCTACCTACGTGCCTGGTGGGGGGGGGGGGGGGGCACCGGCGACTTTGGTCCCATTCTTTCCATGCAACGCCCATAGGGCTAATGTTAAAATGCCAAAATGAAAGGGGGCACGGTGCCCCGGTGCCCTCCCCGTTCCGCCGCCTATGACCACGAGCAAACCACGTTTGCACAGTCCATTGCATATGCAGACTGCAGTCTGCCTATGCAGTACTGTGCAGTGTGCAGCGCGCGGTGACTGCACCCATATGCACGTACCTACACAACGCTGAGCTGATTCATATTCTACACAGCTTCATTTTACCCCGCCTACTACAGAACTTCAATAGCTGCAGGCAGAACTCGTTCGCGGCTTTGCCACTGGCTTTGCCATTTCCTTGGAGAGACATCAAATATCATAACATACCCCCTTTATTCGTGCACCAAATAATTTATCAAATTAGTTATATCGCCATTTAAAATATGCTTCTGAGTTCTGCATAATCCACTGTTTCGACAAAGGGAACGGATTTCTCGAGGGAATCTTGCGCCGCCAACTGACGTCATAAAAGGCACCAGCACAAGCAAGGCCGGCACCTGCATTTGTCCTAGCAAAAACGTCAACCTTGACAGGCAATTGGTGTGTTGTGTTGTTTTCGGGGCTGTAAGAATCGTTTTCGGTTTTCGGATTATTGTGTGTTTTATTGTTTTGGTCGTATGTTCCAAGGCCCTATGTTCGTTCTTATTTATAGGTTCTGTAACTGAGAATGATAGAAGCTGCACATTTATAACTTACTCACTATTGCTGCTTCAGTACCTACCTATCTAGATCAGTTGGGCAAACTAGACCTTTGGAATCAAAATATGGAGGCATCAAAAGATTGATTCATTTTGGGCATAAATGCAGACCATTTCTAACTTACCAATCACATAAAAATAAGAGAGTGTTTCAAGAAGGAGCATGCCTGATCTTGAACAGAAATGCTTGAACTATCTCCTAAGCAAAATAATATTGCTCCTATCATAACAATTTAAATTTTATAGGTAGTGAAAGGCAATCAAGGAATTGATTCACTTTAAACAGATAATCATAATATTGATTCCCCATCAGCTGGCTAATCATTATTTTGATTCACAGGTAATGTTAACAGATAGGCAACAATGACTTGCAAGAATACAGCATTTATCTTGCTATTATTCTCATTTAGTGGTATCCTCAGCACCACGACTGATACCTATAGCATTGTTGTACTTTACCTTCACTACATTTGATAACAATTCACAATTTTTAAATGTCAAGAATACAAAAACTGAAGCAACAGGTAAAAACCATATAAATAATATAAAAGCACTACAACAATGATAATTAGGGGTTTAAAAATTTCATTTTGCCATTTTACACAAATACTGATTGGTTAGTATTTGATTCATGATACAAAAATAACATACAGTGTGATTTCCTCAAAACAGCTTTTACGTGATGGACAGTGGCTCTGTCTTTTTCCCATTCACAAGGCCAAAGGGACAATTTCTTAGCTTTGAGGTAACACTTTTTGCAAACCTACCACATTTTTCTACCTTTTAAAAGAAAAATCTCACCGTCATGGGCCTTTTTTCAACCGTAACGATTCATTTGAAGTCAAAAGTGTACCCAAATGAATCAAAAAATTGATTCCATGCCCATATTTGGTCATGGCTCCTCCCACCAGAATCAAATTATTGATGCCTCCATATTTTGATTCCAAAAGTCTAGTTTGCCCAACTCAAGGCCCTATATACCAGGTAGGGTCGTCCGGCGATTCTACCTTTTCGTGACGTCAGCTCGTGACGTCATTTGGAGTCAAGTCTCGAAGCCCCGTTCAATCCCCATGTAAATGAGCGATTTTCGAAGCACTGTAGAATGAAGTCTGCACAAGATATATCAAACCTAAGTATCTTATCTGAAAGAGCAGACAATTTTCTGCAAGTTATCTATTACGTGTTTTTCGCTAAATCTTTTGTTTTTTTCACAAAAGCGTAAAATGTCCCCCCATGTCTCCGCAGCCTCCCTGCCGCCGGCCGCCGCGCGGTCGCGGTAGTGTAGTGGTTAGCGTGCCCGCGCAGTATTCCAAAGGTCCCGAGTTCGAATCTATGCGGTGCGGAACTTTAATTGCAATTCCAAGCTGAATATACGCACATCCATAATAAATTATTATTCGTATAGCTAAACTGTCACCAAGCTATCCATATAAATTGACTTCACCCAAAATATCGGCAAGATTCTATTAAAATATAAATTCAAATATGGCGGCTTGGACTGCCGCGTGCGTTAGGCTCCGCCCATAGCTCCGCCCACATGCGTGACGTCATTCGTGTTAGTGGACACGCAGAGAGATAGGGGACGACATGGGCCTGGCCCAACTGAGATCATGATGAGATAGGGCTGCATTGTGATTGGTTGAAGTGTTTCAACTTTCAGGCTTTAATTCATTTAAATCTGAATCATTTGAAATAACAAAATTGACACCTATTGCTTTACTGGTAAATGTCAAGATTACGTCCTAAGCAGATTTCATGGATAATTTTTTCATATTCTTCATATGCGGTGGAACGGGGAGGGCACCAGGGCACTGCCACTGTGCCCCCGTTTGATTTTGGCATTTTACATAAGCCCTATGGGCGTTGCATGGAAAGAATGGGACCAATAGTCGGCAGTGCCCCCCTTAATTTAAGGTGTTCAGCCGCTACTGATATTCATACATTATTTGACATCCTGAGGGGTGTTCACGGGCACCGCACTCTGCTGCGTGCGGTGTGTGCGGTGCGTCCAGCAGGCGTGGGGGTAGGGGATGGGTAGGTGGCTCTGACGTCACGGCTGCGTGCGGTGGACGGTCCGCTGTGGCCCGTCGCGACCGGCCACAGCGATCGCTGTGTGCGGTGACGGAAGGGGGACGTAGGGGTATATGTCAAGTTTAGGTCCAACTACAATTGTGACGCTGTTGATACGAATATGAAACAGCAAAAATTTTAGGTTTTAGGTTAGGTTAGGTTGTAGGTTTGTAGGTTTTAGGTTGTAGGTAGGTAGGTTTGTAGGTTAGGTTAGGTTAGGGTAGGTTTGTAGGTTGTAGGTTGGTAGGTTATAGGTAAGTAGGTAAGGTTAGGTCAGGTTTGATTATGTTTTTTTCTTTTATTTGCGAGACATATGAGTATCATTTTTTGGATTCAGGATGTCAAATAATGTAAAAATATGAAAAATTTATCAATGAAATCTTCTTAGGACTTAAACTTGACGCGGAGCTTGGAGGCTGTGTGCGGTCCGACCGCACACAGGGCCCGTGAACAGCCCTCTGAATCCAAAAATGAAACTTATATGTCTCGCAAATAAAAGAAAAAACAATCAAACGACATAGGGACGCAGTGGGCGGAGCTTGGAGGCTGTGTGCGGTCCGACCGCATACAGGGCCCGTGAACAGCCCTCTGAATCCAAAAGTGAAACTTATATGTCTCGCAAATAAAAAAAAAACAATCAAACCTGACCTTACCCTACCTATTTACCTCTAACCTACCAACCTACTACCTAAACCCCTAAACCTACAACCTAACGACCTAAAACCTATGAACCTACCTAACTACAACCTAAAACCTACAAACCAACCTACAACCTAACCTAACCTAAAACATAAAATTTTTGCTGTTACATATTTGTATCAACAGCGTCACAATTCTAGTTAGGACCTAAACTTGACATATACCACTATACTTTCTTGCCTGGGGATTGAAAAATTAGGCGACTTTTCGATAATAACTAGTGAAATTTGTGATTGCTTTGCCAATGGCTGCATGGGCTAGGCTCAGGCTGCAATGCATTGCAAAATGATTGATGAGCTGTCACAGAGCTCACAGCCTATCACCAGCATATTCTTTAGTTTTGCATATTCTTTACTTCTTACCATTCTTTTTGTGTAAAGTGAAATTTAATTTTAAAAAATCGACATCTTATAAGTTTCAAATGCTGTGGTGATCATAGCCCATTAGTCAATGAGATAATAATTTCTAAGCACTTATCTTAGTGCTAACTTTTCACTTAGGTATTTGTTATTCAGATAAATCTTTATTCATTTTTTCCTGGAAACTGAATGGGATTTTAAAACTGGTTGCTTAGGCTTGTATCAGTGTCTTACCATATCATCTCTTTTCAGACCATTATCTTACAATTATGTCCAGCAAGAAGGAAGAAGCATTGTCACACATTAAAGAGGCAGAGAAACAGTAAGTGGTGAGCATTGAAAATCCATTGCAAGATTTCACTGTTAATTTAAAGCCACTGAAATTTCCTTCATTTGTTAGCTAGCAACAACAATAAAAAGTTACTGCACTTAATTTTTTTCACATCAATGTTGTGTAGAAAGATGATGTGTTCCATCTTCAATGACAAATGAACCAAAATTTCTTGTGATCTGATTTATATGCATTTAGGCACCTTATCACATCTTGCATAGCTAAATGTGTGGTGTCAGTGTGTGGGATGTTGTGATATTTTTTATAGGTAAATCTAGAATGTTGAGTGGATTGATTGACAGAGCCAGAGCCCATGATAAGCAGAGCTTGTTGTGTAGACCCTGACTCCTACCATCTGATTGCACAGTTTCGGTAACCTAACAGGATAATTTGGATGCCAAAGTTTAGCGTGCCCATTAAAGCAAGACATAGCCTGTCTCACTCAATAGACTTCAACTTGATATGGCTGTTTCTACCAACCGCGGAACATCCCTGTCTCAAATATCAAGTCCCCGAGCAACTCAAACCCGGGTAGTCACTACATGGAGTTCAGTGCTCTATCAAGTTCAACTGAGCTACAAGATGGGATGTTTCACATTTTAGGGAAGGGCCGATGGGAGATATCTCCACTGCAGGGCTGGAAGCACAGTGCTGTCCAAGTGCTCACTCTGCGGAATCAATTGAGCCCTAAGGCCTCACGGAGGCACAGGAACGCCGCGATTGTGCCACTGCAGATTACGATGGAATCCTCCACGTCTGTGGATTTTCTGACTAGGTGTACGGCGGTCGATAGGAGAGCAAGCGTCTCCGCTCTCTAGCTCGAACAGAGGTGGTGAACGGGCCGGATAGCGGAGCTCTACCACCCGGCTGTCTAGCCACTAGTTGAGTCCGACAGTTTGTCGGCAATGCCTCCGAAGGCTGAGCCGTCTGTCCAGCACTATGTGGCCGGTGACGTATCGGGAAGGTGAGGCTAGTTGGTGTGTTACGATAGAGAGCAGCACTTTGTGACGAGGTTGAAAGGTGAGGCCACTTTCACGATAGAGAGCAGCGCTATACTCTGTGACGAACTGGGGAGGTGAGGCCACTTGATGTATAACGATATAGAGTTTCTGCTGGTCTGCTAGAGGCAGTGTTGCACAGGTGTGCAGTTGGAAGGTAACAGGTCCCGCTGATGTGGCTCCCGCGGGGAGGAGCGGCTCTGGGGAGCGGTGCCCCGGTCAGACCTCCCCTCCGGCTCCCACCCGGCGCCAGCTGGAGGTGGGGAGCTGAATCGCTGAGATCGCCACCGTCTAAAGAAGTTCGTCCCTCGGCAGGGCGTCGGTCGTCGCCAGGAGTCGTGCCGTCAGGACTCTGCAGCGCTCCTCCACCAGCGCCAGGCCGGCTTTCATCATTAGATGGCGGGCAGCCCGTGGTCGGTCGCGTCGCTGCACGTATTCCCCACTCCTCTAGTCACGTGCGAGGAAGGTGGCGTGGTCCATGGCTCTACGCACCTCCGGAGGAACGTTGGCTTTCGTGTGGAGCTCCCAGTCTGAGTCTTTCGAGCCCCTAGCTCCCAGTGACGGACTCACGTCTGGGGAGCTGGGCAGTCTTTGGTGTAACCGCTGGCGTAGACGGTGGCAGTGAGGCGCGATGTAAACGAGCATAGCTATGTACCTTGATCAGAGCTGTGGCCACAGTCAACTGGTATATAACGCCGCAAGTGTCAGACGCCAGACTCGTCACGGTGGCTCTGTCCTTGTGAATCCTTCCCATCAAAAGGTTCGGACTAAATTTATTATAAAAAAAAAATAATTAAAAAAAAATCGCAGGTAGTAGTTTGTTGTTAGTAGTTTGTCAGATTGGGTGGATGGTGACCCTGGTGTTTTTCTGTCGACAGCTTGAAAACGTCATTTTTGAAATGGAAACCAGATCTCGACTCTGCTGCCGATGAATATAACAAGGCAGGTAAGGCACTATCATGGTATGGTATAGGTATTTTTTGTGCTCTGTTTAGTTTTTCTGTTTGTTGTGAGCCCTTCAAGCGTGCAGGTCAAACTACGTAGTACATTCAAAATGAATGATGGGTAAGATGCTTTCAAGATGCAGGAATGGTGAAAGCGACTTTCAACGTTATCAGCTTGATTTTCTTCAACTTTCGTTTGCGTAGTTTGAAAAGAAAGAATGAGACGTGTGTTCAACAGATCTAGCTGCTATGACTTCAACCGTCTGATTGCGAACGTCCTTTTGGTCTAGCGAATTTAGAGGTCAAGTGTAGCCTGCTCATATGCCTATTGCCTACCAACTGCCTTCAACCACTTTTGCGTGCTTACACCGACCACCAACCGCAGACCGTCCCATCAGGAGTCAGTTACACGGGGTTCCCAAACAGCTACAAGGTAGGTACTAGGAATCCGATATCCTCCCTACGAGTCTGGTGCACAGTCCCACGTGTACGTTATATGCATTTATTACACCGTGTAATTTGTCGCACTGCACACGTGTACAATGTCAGTGCATTATGCAATGCTAACCGTTGTCGACCGGGCAGCGACGTGCTACAAGACGGTGCGGGCGTACGCCGAGTGTCGGGACGCCCTCTCCAAGGCGGCCAACTGTTACCAGCAGAACCGCTCCCTGTTTGCGGCTGCCAAGTGCTACGAACAGGGTATCCTGATGAGCAAGGAGCTCGGCGATCTGGCCACGGTGGTGACGCTCTGCGAGCGGGCAGCCCAGCTCTACCAGGTGCGTGCTCCCGACACCCGGATATAGGTGACTCGCCCTAATGTGACGCTCGACCGGGCCAGGAATATCCTGTCATGGTTCGGGCTGCACTTTATCATTTGATTCATGGTAACTTGGGACGGTGCTCGTGTGTTAAACGAGCTTCACATGCACTGCTGCAAAGTCCCATTTAGAGTTAGAGGGTCTTCGGGCTGAGTATTTAACGTTATGCTTAAGCCATCAAAATATAACTGTTCCACATGCACAGTCTAGTAAAAGGGTCAGGTTTTGCTTCCTCTTGTGTTCACAAATGTCTTCCCTCTCTGAAACTTATGAGTTGGAAACTCTGGACTCTCAACGTATAACGTGGGTGTTTGTCGTCGGTACATGTATTTGTCGTTGGCCTTGGCTCTCAAGTCACCGCAAAACATTAATTTGACGTCTGTTTGTACTATTTATCAACGTGTGACGTTGTTTGTGGCCTGTTATTCAGCAACACGGCAGTCCCGAGTCTGCGGCCCAGTGTCTGGAGAAGGCGGCCAAGATTGTGGAGACGCCCCGGCCAGCGGACGCGGTGCCGCTCTACCAGCGCGCCGCCGACGTCGTGATGCTCGAGGACAGACAGCGGACGGCCGGTGAGACCGACTGACGCGCCCTCCCCTCGCCCGGCGGGTGAAGTTATGGGATCTTGGACTGGTCTAACATAGGCGTATGACGACATTTTGGTACTAAAGTTAATTTGGGACCGTAGACTGGCTGTTAATTAAATAGCTGTTTGCCTCTCTGTTTCCGATGAGTCGAGGCCCTTCCTCCCTTCCCTTGCTGACCTGTCCCTCTGTACTTTCTCGGCCTTCTGTCGTCCGCGGCTGACCGTCGTTGTCCGTGTCCGCTCGGGCAGCCAACTACGTGTCCAAGGTTTGCCGGCTGCTGGTGCGGCTGGGACGCTACGACGAGGCCGTGTCGGCGGCCCTCCGTGAGATGGGCTACCAGCAGGAGATGGAGGACGCGGCCCAGTGCGGACGGCTCACCGTCGTCCTCGTGCTGCTCCACCTGGCGCGCGACGACGTGGTGGCCGCGCGCAAGGCCTTCGACGAGTGGGGCACCTACTGCGAGCGGGAGGAGGTCAGTGACGCGCCGACCCGCAGGCCCCGTCAGCGCCGCGTGGACGGATAGATGATTGAAGGGTTGGGTGTCGTATTATTTTCAAATAATTGTCAGCATGCGGAATGGCGTTGAGTTGCCCTCGTGACGTGTAAATTTGCCGCGTGACTACATCGTCTTAACGTTGCATAGTTTTTGGTTTGTTACTGTTTTTAACGTTAGTTTTGTTTAATTATCATATCGTTTCAACGTTTGGCCACTCTATTATAGACGTCTGCTTACTGAGTAGAAATTGAGTAATTTCGATGAATCATCGTACGTCGCTCTCCTTTATGGTATCATCTGCGGTGACAGCCGGCCCGCGTTACTCCTCAGGTGGCGACCCTGACCACACTTCTGGAGGGCTACGAGGACGAGGATCCCGAGCTGGCCCGCCGAGCACTCAACTCGTCATTCATCAAACACATGGATATCGACTACGCAAAACTGGCCAAAAGTCTCAAGCTGCCTGAACAAACGGTATGACTAAAAGTAAATTCACTCTGCCATTTAAATACTTATCATAGTACTGATAATAAACATAAAATGGTGGATGCTATATCATTAGAATGACAGTGGCTTCAAGTCTCCAGCAGTGGAAAAATAAGCATATTTTAACTGTCTCACCGGTAGGGGATGACGCTTTGCTCATGCGCACAGTCTTGCACGTGCGCAGCTGGTTGCTGTTGTAACTGCTGTGCTAGCTACTGTGCTGTTTGTTGACGTTTCGCCCCGTTTGATTGCAGGTGAACCCGGTGAAGGAGGCCCCGGCGGCGAGCACGGAGCCGGCCGCCGCCGATTTGCCCGCCCAGTTCGGCAGCGTCTCAGTGTCAGAGGTGAGTGAACAGTGTGCCCTTGGCCCTGTGGCAGTTAAATTAGTTTGTGGGCCGTGGGGATGCCATTACCAGTTGGGCAGCGTCACCGTATAGGAGGTAGGTGAGCAGTATTTAGTGGGGATATCCGCCTTGGTCGGAACTCCTACCCCAATTATGAGCAACATTGGATGAGCGTTATAAGCGGCCATATTGGATATGGCTTCGTGGCCTGAGTGCCGTTGAGTGCTATTTTTTTTTTTTCTCCAGAAGCAATGTTGATAGGTATCTGTAACAAGTAACAACCTTTAACAATTAATGCATTTACATTGCTTTTAGAAGATAACTTTTTATCCCACCATTGCCTAGCTACTCGTTTATTGCGTTACCCAGTTACACGCATTGCAGCGCTTGATTCATTTCCTAAGAAGTGTATTGCTATCGAATGGTAATTATTTCCCCATCACCGTGTATTGTGACCTGGGGTTTTGTATCCAGACAGTAGCCATTGTGCTCACTCGCCTCGTTTTCGTGTGATCCGCAGCCCGCCGCCGCCGGGCAGGACGACCCCGGCGACACGGATGCACCGGCGCCGGCCGCGGCCCCGGCGGAGCCCGCGGCGCCGGCCGCGGCCCCGGCGGAACCCGCGGGGCCGGCTGATGACGACGACGAGTATTCCGGCGGACTGTGCTAGGCGGCGAGCGTCAAACACCGCTGTCAACATCAAACACCACAGCAGACACCACCGCTAACTCCGCCGTCAGGCTGCCAGAGCGCGGCACCGGGTCTAATTGGATGGCACCCGGGGGAGTAAGGTATTGGGAGCTCCCCTGATGGCGTGGCCGTTCCACCCGCGTCAGGGTGACACTTAGGAACTGCTGCTGCATACAGGGAGACGAGCTCCCCACCCGCCGCCGTCGTAGAGGACAAGTCCAGTAGTAGCACACGGATGGCACGTTAAATGTGCTTGCTTCCGAGTCCACTGTTCGAGCCGACGTTCAATATGTCGCCACTTTTTTGATGAACCACATCGCTAATTTTGGATATGCGTCACATTCCCAAAGAATAGGAGGTTAAGTCGCTGAATGTAAAAGTAACTATACTGTGCAACATACAGCTATAACTTCTTGTCATTTGCCCTTGGACTTCCGAAAAGTCTAGAAACCGACCCTGCTAGACTAGGATGTACGTTAAAAACGACCCTGCATAGTTTATACACTTAGTACATTCTAGGTCTAAGTGGCCGACAGATTGTATGGACGTAGGTGACGCATGGTCCCATTTATTTATGGTTGTCAGCGTTGTTATTGTGATATCAGTTCCTGCAATGGTGGACGTTAGTCGTCAATTTTCTCATTGCAAGTTCTGTCCTTGTACGGTACTGTTGTTGATAGTGGGGCATTGGTTTCTGAGCGTTGGAGATATTTTGGGCTACACTTGCCGAGTTTGCAATTGAGCAGAGGCCTCTTGCACCAAAATCCTCTTGCACCAATGCTTGTATTATTTTGCATCGTATACCCAGTCCAAGTCTCAAATGTAACAATTTGCGTGCAAAATTTAGCAAGCACATGTAGGATTATGTATTGGGCTATTGCAACCAAATTTACCACCGTTAGCTTAGCTTATTCTGAAACCGGTTTTTCGATTTTACCTAGCTAGGTAGTTTGGTGCAAGAGGCCTCTGGTCTTTATTTGAAGAGTTGAAGCGTCGATCGTGCGACATTTATTTCAGGCGTGCTAGCTTATCAATTCATATTGCAGTGCAATGCATCAATACAGTGAAATAATCAGCAAACACATTTTATCTGGGATGATGCGGAAGACTTATTCAAATACTTGTAGAATTCATCAATCATTTATTACATCTTCGAATTTCGGCCAAATAATTCCGATGAATCGTTGAATATGCGGGGTGGTTATGCATTACATTCTGCTCTTCTTAGGTAGTAGGTCGTCTCCGCTTTAGTGACTTCTGACATTGCATATGTACAATATTTGCGGCTCGTAGTCGGAGAGACGTGAGGAGGGGTGCTTCGCGTCCAAATTTACTCGTAGTCGCAGTCGCCATGAGCGTTACGAACGTTTACTCGACGGCACGTGCGTTGGTGATCAGCGTCTGTGCATGCCACCCATTCGCTGTTTGTTTCACCAATATTCGTGTTTGCATTATGCATCGACGATGGTTACAGTGAAGTAAAGTTAGGATGGCGCTGCTGTTAGCATGTACTGCGTGATTTTTTTTCGTGAGCTTTAAGTCTCTTGACTATCCGTTCGTGTGAAAGCGGTGGCATGCTTTTGGTATTGGGATACGTTCCTACATATTATATTGCATATATAATGTGTCGAGCTGTATGCTGTTTTAGCATTGTGTCATACGGGCTTCAATTGGCGGTCGCCAACAACTTCTCAACAGCAATATCAATGTTCCCTGTTCCATCAGAAAATATGGCGTTTTACGTGATCCGCCGCGGTCACGGACTGCTGCGTAGGTACTCGTCACTCGTACGCCATGACTGATGACAGGCAGCGGCTGCTTGTAGGGATCGCGCTGAATGATAAGGATAGGCTGTGCACAGTCACCGTGGGCTGTGCTTTCTCATCGAATAACAGCAATTTCTAGCCTGGCTGGGGCAACATTAATGCGCCTGTGCCTCGGTGATCTTAGACAGTGGTAATTGCCAATGGTAGAACAATAGGTACTCATTTAAATATCATCAGCTTGCAGTCATTGCTCCCGAGCCCAGATGCTTACATCGAATCTGCTTAGAGGTTATTGTAATTTGTAATGGTCTTTGCTGACGCTGAGCACGGGTTTGGACAAATGCATTTCTGGGTGAGCAGTCAGCATTGCAATGGGAAGGGGAGGAGTGATGATGACATCGTTCACGTTGTCGCTACTCGGGAAGGAATTTCAGACCAGTAGCGGCGGAACACCTTCAATTAAGGGGGGGGGGGGGGGCACTGCCGACTTTTGGTCCCACTCTTTCCATGCAACGCCCATAGGGCTAATGTTAAAATGCCAAAATTAAAGGGGGGCACGGTGCCCCGGTGCCCTCCCCGTTCCGCCGCCTATGTTTCAGACGTTGAAGGCCGCGTCGTCGGGCCTTCTGAATTCGGCCTACTACATGGACTGTTTTATTACATTCACCAAGTTCATAACAACATATGATAATACCTTTTGGGCGTGAAGCTGAAGTGCAACCAAACTGGTCGAAAACTGCGTCAGTCGCCAGTTTTGCGGAACGCCCTTTTTATGAAATCAGCCGCAGGACGGGCCATAATGTCATGGGTTACAGCTCGGTATCTTGGGTTACAGTTCGCCTGCATGTAAGTCTATGGACTGTGTTTGACTCCTGACTGCTGGCGTGAAAGTGAGCTCAGAATGGCATACATCAACCGGTAAGCTTCGTTACAGGATGCTATCTTTGGACAGGGGCGAGAGAAATGAGATCGTTCCAATGACGTCACTCCTTCCGACGCGAGTACTTTCAACGCTTTCAACCCCTACTTCGACTTCGAATATGCGATCCTTGATCTAAGTTGTTGCATTTTTGGCGCAGCATTTGCATTTAGCTTAGCTCAGGGGGGTGACACGGCTATTCGCGCAATGTATTAATTTATGGGCCGCGCGGGGCCTCGCGATGACGCGGCTGGAGGCAAATGCTCAGCGCGCTAGGATACTTCTGGCGGGGCGGGGCGCTGAACGGTGTGCAATGAATGGGTTATGGTCGGGCAGACAGAGATGAGGTATTGAATTTGAATTGACATCAGCAATCGGGTGGGGAAGGAGAACGTTTCTAATCGAGCTTGGGATGGGGAAAGCCGAAAATATCGCGATCGGCTCATAGCTCAGACAGGGCCGGGTGCCGTACCATGTGTTGTATATTTAGGCTGGCAGACAGAGATGAGTTATTGGATTTAAATTCACCTTACCATCGGTTTCTGGTGGGGTTTGAAGACGTTTTTAGTCAAGCTCGGAGTGGGGCAACCCACTGGCGGATCCAGGGGAAGGCATTTGGGGCAAATGTCTTCCCCCACATTGGCAGCGCCCGAAATCGCTTTTCGAGAATCAGAGAAAACTTCACAACTTTTCTGAGGAAATGTTGGTTAATCACACTGCACAGCAGTGCGCAAGGAATCGAAATCCGAGTTTTTTTTTAATTAATTCCGAGAAACCTTTTTGGGGTAAGCCTCCGCAGTGTCCAAGACCGCTTCCTGGATCCGCCAGTTGTGAATAAGTCACGGTCGATACCGAGCTTCGGCGGGACCAGGCGCTGTATACGTTGTTCTTTCAATGAAGAGGTGGACAGACACCTAGCCCCACATCCTACTGCTATGCCCGTGCTTCTGTGGGTGAAGCACTAAAGCATCACGGAATCCCACAGGACCTGCGAGTCGACGAGGTGGCCGCTTTGGCCGCCGGGTACTGCAGCTCCCTGGAGTTGCCTGGGACCGATGGCAAAACAACAGCTCCGGCGGTGCCCCTATGGGCCGTAGTAATTAGTGAATTCCTGTAATGTAGAGATCATATCCTCAATAATCTCCATTACCATTCTATATTCCTAAACAGTATGACAGAACAATTATGCTTGCCTACGTTCAGGCATTACCTTGTCGTACTGCGCTGTGGGTAGCGCGTGGCTGGACGGACGGTCTGTGACAATCTATTGATCTGTGGCTGATCTATTAGAGTGTCCGTCCGAGAGCCGTACGACGGCTGACAGAGCCTGGGGGTCGCGAACTGGTGTGGTAACCGTTACGCCCACCTGGGACGCCCGAGTCGGTACGGCACTTGCGGTGTCGTAACCGGATCGGCGGGAACCAGCAGAACGCTGTTGGACCGGCGGTGAAAGTCGGAACCGAGCACTCGCCCACCAGTGGGGCGTCTGGTCGAGCAGGTCTACCCGCTAAGGCAGCCTGAGCACGAACCAGTGGCAGGGTCCGATCAATGACCGTGGTCCGACCAGGGTGTCAGCGCAATGGCCAGTCAGAGGCGTCTTTAAGGGCGCAGAAGCCCACCTCGGTCGACTGTGGCCAGTGCAACCTAGTCAGGTCGTTTGTGTGAATCTCCGTGTTCTTCCCTCGCCTCAGAGTAGCCGCTCTTCTCCAAATGCCCGAGCCGTTTTCTATGTGTATTTGTCTTGTAGCGAACAGCAGAGTCGAGAAACGAATTGACAATGTCGCCGAAAGCCGCGGTCACATGCTGGCCGTCCCTAGTACTACCAATATGCCCGCAGGCGCGGCGAGAGACAAGCTCAACGTATGAGTCACCGTCCGGCTGCCGGGAGAGCCCCTACCGCGACCTTTGTCCACAGTCATGACGTCACGACAATGGGCTCCTAAACGTACGGGCAGCGGCCGCCTCAGGGGTGCCGCCGTGACCTTTGCACGACACGTTCTATAGCGTATGGCACAGCGGTTACTAGGAAGGTTGAGGCCAGCGGCAGGCCGGTTTACAAATAACAAACAAACTTGACGCGCAATTGGCAACAGGTAACAGATTGATTAATAAAGCGGTGACAATATAAATGAAAATGACAACATGAAATGACAAATCGCATAGATGACAAATCGCATAGATGATCCCTACAGTACCCCCTCGCCAGACATGTCGCGGACAAAAGTGACATGGCGATATCTTACCGGAGGTCGTATGACGCGGCCGGAGCGGGTCGTCCGTAGTATCGGCCGAGGCTGCAATGGTGCAGCGTCAGCCCGAGCGACGGCTGCAGGGCGATTTGGTGCGTCACCGTAGATCAGAAGCTCCGGGCCGCTGGGCTCATTGCTGAGCGGTGGCGCGGCCGGCGGGCCGCTGGACTGAGTACCGTGCGGCTGCACAGTCGGCAGGTCAGACTGTCGATGACCGGATTCGTCTGGCGTCTCCAGGAAGGCGGCCTTACACCGGTCGATGCTGATGACCTCCTTTTTCTGTCGACGGTCGATGGTGATGGTTTTGGTGGTCCTTTCGGCAACCGGGAACGGTCCGTCGTATGGAGCGTCCAGCGGGTAGCGGTGACAGTCCCTGCGCACGAAGACGTGTGTCGCCGTCTGGAGTGCCGTCGGGACGTACGTGGCGCGCTGGACCGGACGTGGGAGTGTCGGCCGCACCTGAGACATGGCGCGCTTCAGGTCTTGTACGAAACCGGCCGGTGATGCTGCTGAGGCTTGGCTGCTGATGAAGAACTCACCAGGAAGCCGCAGTGAGGAGCCGTACACCAGCTCGGCTGACGTCGCCTGCAGGTCCGCCTTGATGGTGGAGCGGATGCCCAG